GCGCTTCCCAAGCGGCGCACTATCCAGTGCGCCACCGGGCCGGCCCGAAAAAGCATTGTTTTGTGTGTGTTTACATTTATTTCTAAGAGCTTCTTAAGAGCAGGATCCATGACTATTCCCCTTTGCAGCCTTAGTAACTGGTGTATTGTCTTGCACACAGCAGGAACTCAAAAACATTTCTTCTTAGGCTTCAGAGACTATATAGAGTCTAATATTAACTCACTACTCCTTAGTCTTTTCTTTCTCAGACTCAAAAAAACACGTTTTTCTGAATGGTCCACCAATGTCCTTGTGGACACTGTCCTTGTGTTCCTTTCTCATGCTCTTAGCTTAGGAAACTCATCCATAGCATGAACTATCAACTTTACATACATGATCTCAAATTTATAATTAGGTCTATCATCTCTTAGAAAGATGGACTCATGTTTCAAATTTCTGGACATTTTCACATGCATGTTTTGGTGAATTTCANCTTACAGGAACCTTTCTTTGACTTCCTCTCAACCCTACACCTCTCTACCCATTTTCTGCACACACATGCTTTCTATTCCTTCTTATCCTACTCTAGTTCAAGAATGGATTGTCTTATTCCTAAACCACTGCAATAATCTCCATCTATGTTCCATCTCCCACAGTATCACCTAGATCATGTCACCACTGCCAAGAGGATAAAATCCAAACCTTACAGTCTGGCCTTCCAACTTTCTTATTTAAAAATGTTTCTTGTATGTAGGGAATAATTCTTACTCATCCAGGAAATCTTGAGTTTGTGGGTTAAAGTTGTAACATTTCAAATACAAGAAGTTTGAAAATATTTAGTGGTTTTGAGTATATCACTCAGTCTAAAACTGAGGCTATTGGGGAAATATTCAGAGGACTAACGGACAGTTCATGATTTCCCCCAAATTCTATCTCATCCTGAAAGTTAATGTACCACAACAAACATCTTCAAAAGAAAAATCACTCCATACTCACTTTAATATGATACAATTTATAAAAGAATTAGAGACATAATTATAATCTTGAAATAGTATTTTATTTTTTTTTGCAGTTGGCAGGTACAGGGATTGAAATAACATTTTAATAGAAAAAAACTACCAAAATCATTAACTTTATTTTGTTCTTGTTAGAAGAAAAGGATACAATAGATAAAACTTATTCGGGGTGAGG